GCAGCTGGCACTGAGCTGCTCCTGTGCTCTGCTTCAGTCTGTCCTTGTTGTCCTCTGCAGGCTATTGTTGTTTGTATCAGAAACAAGGAGTTTGAAAAGGCTTCTGATATCGTCAAGAAGCACATGGGGAAGGAGCCCAGGAACCAAGTGAGTCCGTGCTGGGATGAAATGGGAGCTGCTGGTGTGTCCAGAGGGGGTCTGATGTGTCCTGGGAGGTTTGGGCTGAGGAGGCCAAAATGGAAACAATCCTTCTGGAGTGCTGGTCCCTCGGTGCTGCATGTTTGGGTTGGCACCTTGGAGCCCCCTCTGTCACTCAGCTTTCCTCACACACCTTCGTGGGCCTTCCAGACATCACCATTTATCCCTTGATGAGCCTCCAGCTCAGCTTCCCAGCAGGTTCTGGGAGCAGCAGGAGTCCCCATTCCTGTTCCTGCAGGCAGTAGGGATCTTGGGCACTGCAGGCAAGGAGAATTCCTGAAATAAGGTGGTTCTGCTGCTCCTTGGTTGCTGTCCCGTTCCTCTGGCCTTTTCCCAGCCTCATTTCAGTGTTAACTGGTTGTGCCTGGAGAATGCCAAGCAGGAGAGGCCCAGTCCTTGCCCACACCCTCGCTGTGGCTGGCACTGATTGCCCTGTCCCTGCCCAGAGAGTTCTCACCTGATCCTATGAATCCTTCTCCAGAAGAAGAAAAACGAGTGGCTGGCTGTGATCCGGGAGAAGAATCCCTCTCATCCAAAGGTCAAAAACTTCTCCTACGAGGAGTTCCAGCAGAGCATCTTTGAGTTCCTGAGGGGCTACATGGACGACTCGGAGCCGGCGCTGCTGACGGTGCGTGCCCTGCAGAACTCTAAATCCAGCCCCTTCCTATGGGGTTTATATGGTCAGAGAAGCTGTTCCATCCATGGAACGCCTTTGGGAGGGGATAAAATTGAATGGGAGCATGAGGAATCGTGTCTGTAATGTGCTGTGCCTTTTCTGTTTTCAGTTATTGAAAAAGACTTTGGACTCGGAGCACGCCAGCAAAGCAAAATCCTCGCTGGGGACCTCTGAGTCTGCAGATGGGCTGAGGGACCAGGCAGCAGCTCCAGAGGCCCCAGCAAGGGTAGAGGGCCCAACCAACTCTCCAGAGGCCTTGGCAAGGGCAGAGGGCCCAGCCAGAGCTCCAGAGCTTGCAGGAGCAGCAGAAGACCTGGAGGGAGCTGCCAGCCCTGCAAAAAGGGCAGCTGGTCCCACAGCAGCTCCAGAGATGATGGAAGAAGCTGGTGGCTCTGCAGCAGCTGTGGAACCTATGGAAGTAGCCACTGATCCAGCAGCCACACCTGAACACTTACCAGCAGCATATGATATCCTGAAGGGCACTCCAGAGCCCATGGAAGTAGCTAAAGAACCAGCAGCAGCCCCAGAAACCCCCAGGGTGTCCACCAGGGAATCACCAAGGTGGGCACAGCAGTCTGGCTCTAGATTGTGGATGCAGTTGGCCTCAAGGTCTCTTCCAAGGGGTAATCCCCTGTGTCCAGGCAGCTCCTAATTCCCCAAATGCCTGCCCAGGCCAGCCCAGAGGTGGATCCTGGGGAAGGTGTTGAGTTTGGGTCAGTTGCTGACAGGAAGTGCTGCAGTGACAGGGAGGGGCAGTGGCTGCTCTGGTGGAGCAGGAAGGTGTGTTCTTCACACCTGGGGCACTGTGCTCTGTGGGAGGCAGTGCTGGAGGGTTGGGAATGCCCTCTTCCATGGATTCGCACTGCAGGGCCAGGAGTTGGGGATGCCAAGTGGCAGGCAAGGCTGCATTTTGGGGCAGCAGAGCTCCCTTGGCAGTTTCCCTACAACCCTCCTGGTTGTGTTTATTTTATAGGCAGCCCCCTGGAGCTGTAACCTCGTGTGGGATTTCTGTTCTGAGAGAAGCTTTCAAGATCCTGTCGGACTCCGGGGACTCGGACGCCCTTTTCACCCAACTGGACCAAACAGACTTGCCTTCCCCCAAGCAACTGTCTCCTTCTGTATCCCACAGAACCAAGAGATGCAGAGAAGTGGAGAATCAAGCTTCTGAGACCTCAGAGCCTCCTGAAATACCCCATAACATCAAAAACTTGTTCAGCATAAGCAATCTGATCGTGGAGTTGGACGGCTCGTCCAGCAAGTCGAGCGAGTGCCCCGACTCTTCCCAGGAGCACGTGGTCTCTTCTGCCTCCAAACCTGCTCCCAAACTGCCTGATGAGCCCTTGTCTGCCCAGAGTGAGAAGTATGAAGCCCCTCTCGTGTGCTATTGTCTGCTCTGCCCCCAGACTTGTCTTGCTGGTGTTGGTAGCCTGAGCACCAAACCCTGGCCCTGTGTCCCAAGATGAGTGTTGACCTTGCCTGCCAGCCCGTGTGGAACTGGGCACAGCAAACCCTCTTGCCCGTATGTTTGGCTTTAAAATTAATTATGGGTTAATGAAGAGGAGAAAATATTCAGGTCCTGCTGCTAGTGAGGTGCTGCAGCTGGTTCTGGCAGGTGATTCCAGTACAAGGAACACATTTTTCCATACTTCTCCTACCTTCAGCATCACTGGCCAGAGTCTGTAGGAGCATCCTTCTCTTGCTTCCCACCTCTTAAGAAATACAATGTCCAGGGGCTGGCTCTGCTTGCTTGGTGGCCCTGCACCTGCTCCTGAGCCAGTAGACAAAGTAAACCCTCACCTGATTTCAGGTCCTTCCAAGGAAGGTGGAACAGCTCCTGTGGCACAGAGGAGAAGGACAGCTGGAGTGATGAGGATGAGCTCTTTGCAAATGCAGGTATGAGAATCCCCCTGGCAGGGATTACCTGTGCTAATGCTGGCAGGGGGTCACTCACAGGGGTCCTGCTGCTGCCTGGGTGGCTGAATTTTGAAACCAGAAGTCCTGTGGAAAGGCTGGGATAAAGGAATTGATTGGGGTGTATTGCTGTCACAGGGTGCTCTGCACAGCTCAAGGCAGCCTCTCAGGGAGGTCTGTACCTCCCAAATTATGGGAAATGTAATTCTCTCCCTTGTTTTCCAGCATCACTTGAGAAAAACAAAGCCTCCAACAACTCCGGCTCCAAGAAACAGGTACGTGGAGCCTTAGGCGCTTCTAGCAGGCCCTGCAGTGGGGCAGTGTCCCTACAGTCTCCATGATAAAAGAGGCTGGAGCTGGGCCTGTCCTGCCCGCAGGGCACTGGGAATTTGCCTTTGGTTAAAGCAAGGTTTGCCAAATTCCCTCATGCTGAGGTTGTTGTCCAGCTGAGGGACACACATCTGGCAGCTGTTACCCAGGAGCAGGTCCCACGTTGGTGCCACCAGGACCTCTCCTCCTGGCCCATAGGAAGGCAGCTGCTGCACCACATCTGCAGTGCTGGGGTGTTGTGTGAGCTGCCAGGACCCTTCTGCCTTCCCCGCTGCTCCTGGCACGGCTGATGAGGGCAGCAGGCTCCCTGCCATGCAGCTGCTTCCTTGCTCTTTGCAGAAATGGACCATGGAGGAGAGCGAGTGGATCAAGGAAGGGGTGAAGAAGTACGGGGAAGGGAGGTGGAAAACCATCTGCCTGAAGTTCCCCTTCAGGAACCGCACGTCCGTGATGATCAAGGACCGCTGGCGGACCATGAAGAAACTGGGAATGCTCTGAAGTTGGGAGCCACGGGACTTTCTTTTGGTTTTTGGACCTGTTTGTTTTTTGGAAGCTGGAGCAGAGTGCAGTCTGTGCCAGCGTGGGAAGTCCCTCTGACACCAAACCCATGGCAGAGAGGAACCCAGGAGCTTTGTGCTCCAGCTGGATCTGCAAAGATCAGCGTGCTGCACATGGCAGGGGCTGTGCAGCCTCTCAGCATGAATCTAGATTGAGACTTCTTGTCCACCTGGCCACCGCAGCCTCTGGAATGAATCCCAGCTGTTTGCTCTGCTCAGGTGTGAGCAGAGGATGATCTCATAGGTGACTATTTTTGTGTTTATTGTCTGTTCACTGAATCACTTGTTTCAGCTGTTTGCCATCACTCCCTTGTGGAACAGGCAGCACTGAGTCCCAGCACTTCTGTGGGGAAGAGATCCAGGCAAGAGGATCTACTTGGTTTTTTTGGGGGTGTTTTTTCCCCATTAATGGGGACTAATGTGTGAGGAGAAATTCCTTCCATCCAGCTCTGAGGCTTTAAAAAGCTAAAATTACTTTGTGTTACAGTACTTGGAACTGTTTGTTGTTTCCATGCTAAAATTTTTAGTTTTGTCTGACTTTTGTCATGTTTTCTTTGAACTTTTCCTGGCAATACCCTCGCTGTGTATGAGCTCCAAGGGTGCCACATGTTCCTGCCTTCAAGTGCCAAAGCTGGAACAGTCATTTGTAAAATAAAGATCCTTTTTTGTTTAATAGCAGGAGTTGTAAAAGTGTGAATATCTGCCTCGTGGGTGGAAATGCAGCAGAAGGACACAGAATGTGGGGCTCTCCCTTGCCCTCTGGGAGTGCTGGGTCGGGAGCAGCACTGCCCTGGAGCTGTGACATGCTGGTGTACATGGGAAACAGGAGTTTCTGGGTTAGGTCAGGGGTGTGATACAGGGGCACTCGCTAAATTTAGTTTCTAAGTTTCTCTTGGCTGCTGTTCAGCCAAGCCAGGGCTGGGAGAAGTCTTGTCTAGGACCAGCTGCTTCCCCCTCTGTCCTTCAGCTGCAGGTGCTGCACTGAGTGTCCCTTGTCCCCTGGCTGTGGCCATGCATTTTCCTCCCCTTCCATAAATCCCTTCCCTTGAGAGCCCTGGGCACAGGAGCACCAGGTCAGAGATGTGAGTCACTGCTGGCCAGGGAGGGGCAATGCCACTTGGTGGTGCCCTGTTGGCAGGAGCTGTGTCCTGTTCTTGCCTTGTCCAGGGCAGGCTCCTGCCCTGGCAGTGCAGGTGTCCGAGCTGCAGCTCACACAGATCACCTTGAGCCGCGGTGGCCGTGCTGTGGTTAATGATTACCCTGTGCCTCACACTGCCCTGCCCTGCCCTGCGTGGGGAGCCAGTGCTGCAGCCCCGGGGAGCAGGAGGATGCTGCTGCTGCTGCTCCTGGCTCTGCTGGGCCCCGCTGGCTGCCCCAGGACAGAGCCCCTGAGCGGTGGCTCCAGCCAGGAGCCGCTGTTCCGCGGCGCCGACCGCTACGACTTCGCCATCGTCATCCCCGCCGGCACAGCCGAGTGCTTCTGGCAGTTCTCACACCAGGGAGGAAACTTCTACTTCAGCTACGAGGTGGGTGATGGGGACCTGTCCTGGGACATGGCTGACACAGACAGAAAAAGGCTGGGCTGGATCCACCCCGTGCTGGTCCTGTGGCACATGGCATCTCAGGGACTGTGCCTTTCCTAAGGCAGTATTGTGGAATTGTTTGGGTTGGAGGGATCTTAAAGCTCCTTCCATCCTCTGCCATGGGTAGGGATGCCCTCCACTCTCCTAGATTGCTCCAAGCCCTGTCCAGCCTGAGGGTTGACAATTGCAGGGATGGGGCAGCCACAGCTGCTCTAGGCACCCTGTGCAAGAGCCTCCTCACTTTCACAGGAAAGAGAATCTTCCAAATATAACCACCCTAATCCCTATCCATCATCAATCCCATGCATTTTTTAAACTACCTGGTTTAAGCCCATGAAGTGGTGCTGGGAGCTCTGGCATTGTTGGAAGCTCTGCCCTTCACTGCCTGGCCAGAGGCTGTGGCACAGCTGAAGGTGCTGGCACAGCAAGTCCCTGAGCTCTGTCCCCTTCCCAGGGAAACTTCAGCACTTTCATCTCCTGTTTACACTGGGCTGGCTGAAGGAGAGCCAGGGCATGGCTGTGCCTGGCAGTGGCAGCCTTCCCCCAGCTCTGTGCTTGGCAGAGCAGCCCCACAGGAACACGTCCTCAGGGCTTGGCACAGCTCCATCCCCACACAACAGGACCCACGGATCCCCCTCGGGTGTTCCCTGCCTCCAGGTCCAGCGGGCGACGGGGATTGGCAACAGCAGGAGCATCCTGGTGACAGCGAGTGACCCCAATGGCTTCCAGCTCGGAGTGTCCCAGGACGTGCGAGGACAGATCAACTTCCTCACCAAGGACACAGGTGAGCCCCAGCCCCTGCAGCAGCTCTGAGCCCACCCAACCAGGGCTTCCCAGAGCAGTGATTGCTCCTGCGGGGGCTTGGGCTGAGCGCTCGGGATGTGTCTGCCTGGGGCCCTTCCACCAGGGACCAACTGCCCCCTTCCCTCTGCAGGTTTCTACCAGCTCTGCCTGGACAACCACCAAAACCACTTTGGCTTAATGCAGGTGTATCTCAACTTTGGTGTGTACTATGATGACTTCAACATGGAGCACAAGCAGCCAGCTGAGAGGAAGGAGCTGAACGACACCCTGGAGGCAATTGGGGTGAGGGTCAGGGTGTCCCAGCAGAGCAGGGATGGGCATGTCCTGCCCACTGAGCAGGGCCTTTGCTCGGGCTGAGCTGCAGCACTGAGCCCCAGGGGCAGCTCTGAGCACAGCTTTGCCTCTCCTGCAGGCGAGCATCCAGAAGCTGCACATGCACACCTTCCACATGTGGCGCTTCTACAACTTTGCCCGGATGAGGAAATGGGCTGACTCCTTCCTCCTGGAGTCCAACTACAACTATATCAACTGGTGGTCCATGGCCCAGAGCTGTGTCATTGTCCTCTCTGGGGTGCTGCAGCTCTGCTTCCTCAAGCGCCTCTTTCATGCGCAAACCTCGGGCAGCCAGAGGTGCTAGAGCAGGGCAGGGACCGCCCTGCAGAGCCAGCTCACCTGGCTGCCACTGTCCCACCACAGAGCAGGAGCAAAGGCTGGATTCTGCTTCCAGGAGGAGGCTGGAGAGTTTCCCCTGCTCCTGCCTCAGCTCTGGCCCTGGCATCACCCCGAGAAAATCAAAGGCCACACTGTCACCTGAGTTCTGTGTGCTGTGTGGGTTTGTCACATACCTACCCACTGTGTCTTAATGGGCCTTTTCTACCTAACTCCCAATAAAGGAACCCTTGGCAGAGGCCGGGGAACAACTGCTGCCTGCTAAAGCCATCCAGCCTCTGTGAGACTAGAAGCTGCTGCCCCCTCCCTCCCTCCCCTGAAGCTCATATTCATTCTGAGGCTCGCCCCAACCTCATCAGTCCCTCCAAACATGCCCCAGTGTGTCACATTCCCCACAGGAGGAGCAAGAACTGACTCCCTCTAGACCTCAACACCAGACAACAGGCACTGAAAAAAGGATTAGGCTTTATGTGACAGGGCTGGGGCCAGGGCCCATCCTGCTATGGTGGCAGCAGCCCCCTGAGGGCTCTGGGGCTCTGTGCTGGCAGCTCCCCACACTTCCTTCCCATTCTGGGTGGGCTTCCCATACCCATGGTCCAGGACAAAGTCCATGCCAGCCCGGAGCACTCACAGACAGAGCACGAGGGTCCCTGGGGGTCCCCGAGGGTCCCTCACGTCAGCGTGTCCTCATTCCGCACGTACTCCCCAACGTCAGCTTGGTGGAACACCACGATGGCCAGGGGGTCAACCTTGCGGCACTCCTGCGTGGACTTGGCGGCCACCCCAAAACCCTGGGGGTGAAGGGGACATGAGGGAGGGTCTCCCATCCCCTATCCCCCCTCAGCCCCGGCAGGGCCCAGGTGCTCACCAGTGGGACGTCGGCCATGGAGTACACCACCACACCCTGGTACTGCGCCGTGCTCTCCGTGATGCGGCCCAGCCCCGACTTCAGCACGTGGTTCCCGTAGAGGAAGGACTGCTCGGAGCCCGGCTTCACCCACACCTTGTACTGCGGAGAGGGGCAGGGCTGTGAGGGACCGCAGGGTGGGCAAGGGCTGCTCGGGGCTGTGAGGGCCATGGGGCTGCTTGGGGCTGTGAGGGGCTGCTCGGGCCATGGGACTGTGAGGGTCTGCTCGGGCCATGGGGCTGCTTGGGGCTGTGAGGGGCTGCTCGGGCCATGGGACTGTGAGGGGCTGTGAGGGGCTGCTCGGGCCATGGGACTGTGAGGGGCTGTGAGGGGCCGCAGGGTGGGCAAGGGCCGCTCGGGGCTGTGAGGGCCATGGGGCTGTGAGGGGCCGCTCCAGGCCGGGACCCACCTTGGCGTAGGGCGCGAGGAAGTCCAGGGCCGTGACGCTCAGACGGAACTTCTGGGACTTGGTGAACTTCCCGAAGCAGGTGCCCGGCGCCACCAGGCTCTCCCGGGGCACGCTGGCTGCCAGCTTCAGCAGCTTCTCACTGCGGGAGTGGGGCAGTGCTGGGCTCGGCCAGGCATCACCCCGAGCGGGGCAGTGCTGGGAACGGCCGGGCCGCACCGGGACCGCACCGAGACCGCCCGCTCCCCGCCCCGCCCGGCACTCACCTCAGGTAGTACACGCGGTCCCGGTGCAGGCGGAAGCAGTAGGTGCCATCGGGCCGGTCCACCAGCAGCTGGATGTTCTCCCCGATGCTGCAGGACAGACCCGTGAGCCCGGCCCGGCACGGGCCCTCCTGCCGCGGGACCGCCGGGGCCCGGCCCTCCCGCTCCGCCGCCCGATCCCCGGTGATACCATCCCCTCGGTCAATTTGCTCTCCCCGTTCCCCGGATCCAGCCGGCCCAGCCCTCCCGGTGCCCATCCCTTCTCCATGCCCGGTCTCGCCCGATTCCCGGTGCCCATCCCTTCTCCATGCCCGGTCTCGCCCGATTCCCGGTGCCCATCCCTCCCGGTCCCCTCGGTCCCGGCCCCTCACTATTTCCCGAGCTTCTCGAACACCGCCCGCGTCTCCGCCTCCGTCAGCGGCCGCATCTCCCGCGCCGCGCCGCGCACGCGGGGCCGCCGGGGCCGGAAGTGCCCGGACCGGACCCGGCGGTAGCGGAAGTGACGGACCCGGAACCGGCGGGCCCGGAGGTGACGCGGCGGCCGCGGCGATGGCGGCGGCGGCGGCGGAGGAGGCGCGGCTGCTGGCCTGGCTGCGCGGCCCGGCGGCGCCCGGCGGCCCCGAGCTCGCCGCTTATGTGTCGGAGCTGGCGGCGCTGGGGCTGGCGGAGCTGGGCCGGGAGCCGGCGCGGTTGGCGGCGGAGCGGGCGCGGGTCGGGGCCGAGACGCGCCGCCTCGCCTTCGAGCACTACCGAGCCTTCATCCGCTCCGCCGAGTGCACCGGCCGCGCCGGCCGCGGCTTCGGCGGCATCGAGAGCCGGCTCGGCAGCCTGCTGGAGCGGCTGCCCGCGCTGCAGGACGCCTGCCGGTGCGGGACGGGTACCGGGCACGAGGAGCGGCGGGCAAGGGCCGGGGATGGGCTGGGCTGGGGACCGAGAGGTGCGGAGCCCACTGAGGGTCGGGCCGGCTGGGAGCGGCCGGTGCGGGTGAGAGGGTCGGACCCACCCGCTGCAGGGAGGGCTCTCCGCTGATGCCATCCCGGCCCGCAGGACCTTCATGCGCGATGCCGAGGCCATCGCCTGCAGCCGGCGCATGAACAGCCTGACCCTGAACCGGCACACGGAGATCCTGGAGATCCTGGAGATCCCGCAGCTCATGGACACCTGCGTCCGGAACGGCTACTACGAGGAGGCGCTGGAGCTCACAGCCTACGTGCGCAGGCTGGAGAGGAAGCACAGCAGCATCCCCGTTATCCAGGTGAGCCCTGCGCTGTCTTTGCCCCGTGACTGAACCCCGTGTTATCCCACCCTGTGCTCCAGGTGACCCCCACGCTGCCCCGTGTCTGTACCTGCCTGAAGGCTCTGTGTTCCCCAGGGCATCGTGGACGAGGTGCGCCAGTCGGCGCAGCTGATGCTGAACCAGCTGATCCAGCAGCTGCGCACCAACATCCCGCTGCCCGCCTGCCTGCGTGTCATCGGCTTCCTGCGCCGCATGGACGTGCTCACCGAGGCTGAGCTGCGCGTCAAGTTCCTGCAGGCACGGGACGCCTGGCTGCGCTCCATGCAGGCCTCCATCCCCGACCACGACCCCTACGTGCACATCACCAAGACCATCGAGGCCTGCCGCGTGCACCTGTTCGACATCGTCACCCAGTACCGCGCCATCTTCTCGGATGAGGAGCCGCTGGTGCCGGCCGAGGCGGCGGCGCCGGGCGAGGGGGCCATCTTCCACAGCTGGGTGCTGCAGAAGGTCTCCGAGTTCCTGCGCACGCTGCGGCGCGACCTGGAGCGCGGCGTGGGCGGCCGGCTGGACTCGCTGCTGGGGCAGTGCATGTACTTTGGGCTGTCCTTCAGCAGGGTGGGCGTGGATTTCCGCGGGCAGCTGGCTCCCCTCTTCCAGCGCGTGGCCGCCGACGCCTTCAGCAAGGCGGTGGAGGAGGCGGTGGAGAAATTCCGGGAGGAGATGAATTCCTACACGCTGATCTCGGCTCCGGCCGCGCTGGGGGGTGGTGCAGGAGTGCCGGTGCCCACAGCCCAGCCTGGGACGCTGCAGCCCCCCATGGTGCTGCTGGACTTCCCACCCCTTGCCTGCTTCCTCAACGGGCTCCTCGTGGCCTTCAATGACCTGCGGCTCTGCTGCCCCATCGCCCTGGCACAGGATGTCACCGCCTGCCTGGACAGTGCCCTTGGTGAGGTGAGTCTGGGGATGGAGCTGGGACTTGTCCTGGGAGATCATGGGCCAGGTTTGTTCTGAATGGGTTGGGAAAGCTCTGAGATCATCCAGTCCAACCATTCCCCCTGCACTGCCAAGGCCACCCCTAACCCATGTCCTCAAGTGCCACAGCTGTTAAACCTCCCCAGGGATGGGGATTCCACCACTGCCCTGTGCCAGGGCTGGACAGTTCTTCTCCTGAAGAAATTTTCCTAATATCCAGTTTAAACTTCTGTGGTACATCTTGAGGCTATTTCTTCTTGTCCTGTCCCTTGTACTTTGGGAGCAGAGCCCAGTCCCACCCCAGCTGCCCCTCCTGTCAGGGAGCAGTGGAGGATGAAAAGGTCTCTCTCAAGCCTCTTTTTCTCCATGATAACCCCCCCCCAGCTGCTCCTTGTGCTTCAGCTCCTTCTCCAGCTCTGTTCCCTTCCCTGGACACACTCCAGCCCCACAATGTGTATCTTGGAGTGTCCCAGAACTGACCCCAGGATTCCAGGTGTGGCATCACCAATGCCCAGCACAGGGAGATGGGTGCTGCCCTGGGCCAGTGGCCATGCTGCTGCTGGTACAAGCCAAGTGCCATTGGCGTCCTTACCCACCTGGGCACATGGCTGTCATCAGGTAACCCGTCTGCCTCTCTCTCTCTCCCCAGGTGACCAAAACCATCCTGGCTTTCCACCGTGCTGAGGAGGCGGCTTTTAGTGGGCGGGAGCAGGAGCTCTTTACCCAGTTTTGCACAGCCTTCCTGGAGGACCTGCTGCCTTACTTGAACCGCTGCCTCCAAGTGCTTTTCCCTCCAGCACAGATTGCACAGGCACTGGGTGAGATCTCAGGGTTTGGTTTTCCTTGTGGGGGGGGGACACCCATGGCTTCCCCCTGGCACTGAGCGGGCCCTGTCCTGCTCTTGCCCTCTCCGTGGGGTCTCGTTGCCCACAGAGCCCCTGACCCCTCTCTCCCCATCCCCAAGGTGTCCCCCCCACGCAGCTGCAGCGTTTCGGCCGCCTGGGCCGCATCGACGTGGCCGCTCTCAGGGAGCCGCTGGCTTTCCTCCTTCCGCCGGCACCGGGCGAGGAGGAGCCGTCCCCGGAGACCGCCCCGGACCCGGAGGGGGAACACGCGGCCGTGCCCACCGAGCCCGCGGAGAGCCCCTCCGGGGAGGCTGCGCTGCCGGGTGCCCCGGTGCCCACGGAGTAGCGGGGCTGCGGCCCCCGGTGTCCCCGCGGGAGCCGCCAGGGGGCGCTGCGGCGGGGCGGGTGCGCGCGCACGCGGTGCGCCATGGCGGTGGCGGCGGCGGCGGCGGGACGGGCCCTGCCGGGACGGGCCCTGCCGGGACGGGCCCTGCCGGGGCTCCCGCTGCTCCCGGCCCGCGCCTGCGAACACGCGGCGGGCTGGGACCGGCGGGAGCGCTCCTACTGGCGGGCGCTGCGGCGCCGGGTGCTGGGCCCGCCCGTGCCGCCGTTCGCCGCCCCGGTGCAGGTGGGAGCCCCGGTGCTGCGCGGCGCCGCCGCCGCCGTGTCCCCGGAGCAGCTGGGCGGCCCCGAGCTGCGGCGGCTGGCGGCGGCGCTGGCGGCCGGGCTGCGGGGCCGGCCGTGCCTGGGGCTGAGCGCTCCGCAGCTCGGGGTGCCGCTGAGGGTCTTCGCCGCGGAGCTGCCGCCCGCCCGCTGCGCCCGGTACCCGCCGGCGCTGCGCCAAGCGCACCGCATCGAGCCCTTCCCGCTCCGCGTCCTCGTCAACCCCGCCATCCGCGTCCTCGACACCCGCCTCGTCACCGGCCCCGAGGGCTGCGCCAGCGTCCACGGCTTCTCCGCTTACGTCCCGCGGCACTGGGCCGTCCATGTCTCCGGTACGGACCGACCCGCCCTGTCCCGGGTGGGACCCCGCAGCTGCCCCTCCCTCGCACGGGTCCCTTAATTCTCTGATGGGTTCCCAGCACTCTCACAAATCTCGCCACACGCAGGTCCCCCACTCTCACACAGTCACCCTGTTCTCTCACATCTCCTCCCACTCTCACACGGGTCCCCCTTCTTTCCCCTAATCACCCCCCAACCCACGGCTACCCCGGGTGCAGGTGTGGACGAGCTGGGGGTGCCGGTGAGCTGGGAGGCGGTGGGCTGGGCTGCCCGGATCATCCAGCACGAGATGGACCACCTGGATGGGATCCTCTACATCGACCGCATGGACACCCGCACCTTCACCAACGTGGGCTGGATGGAGCTGCTGGACTGAGCCTGGGCAAAGAACCAGCGCAGCTCTGGGGGCTCCCACTCAGCTTTATTGCAGCCAATACAGACCTGTGGCCTCAGCCTGGCTCCGGCCCTTCCTGCCCACGGGTGGGCACAGGGAGGCAGCCGCGGTCCTGCCCTGGGCACTGGGAATTCCTTGTGGGTCTAGGAACAACCTGCTGCCAAGGCTGTGCAGGGGAGGGGCAAAGGGGGGATCCTTCCCTCTGGGGCTTGTTTGGGGCTCATGATCACAGTGTGGGCACAGCACAGGGGGCACCGCGATGGGGCTGAGGGGAGCCCAGGGGCTGCACAGCACGACAGGAGGTGTGGACAGGTGAATGCCATCAGCTGGTGGCTGCTCCATCCAAGCAGCCCCCTGTAGGCACAGATCCCTGTCTGGGATGGCTGGAGTGCGAGGGACCCCCACCCCCCTGGGACAGGCAGAGGCCTTGGCTCTGGGTCATTGCATTTTGGGGGACAGGAGGTGGGTCTGGGCTGAGCCCCCTGGTGGGGGCAGAGCCTTGGGGAGTGGCTGGCCACCAGCTGAAGCACTCAGATTGTTTTTATTTTCATATAAACAAGACAGAACCCAAAGCAGCATTAAGTTAAAAAATAAAAAAAGAGCAGAAAGAAGAGTGGAGCGCAGCCGGGGAGGGCCCCAGCTGCCCAGGCCATGCTCAGACCCACCCCGCGTAGTGTGAGCCCCGGGCCGTGTCCCCGCAGTGCAGTGGGGCAGGAGTGAGCAAACACCAGGCAGTTTGGCACCGGGGAGGGGGGCACAGCAGGGCCTGCAGCTGCCCCAACCCCACAGCCCCCGTGCCCCCCCCTCAACCTTCCTGTCCAAAGTCCTCCGTGAATTTCTTCACTTTGAGGAGATCCTCGGCATTGACGGTGGGGCGGGTGGTGGCCAGCGAGCGCAGCATGTCTGACTGCAACACAGGTGGGTGGGCACGTGGCTCAGACCAGGCAGGGGCACAGAACAGGGACCCCCATGGCAGTGAGGCACCTCTGCCCCATGGCAGCAGCACTGACCACACCCAACCCTCTTCTAGTGGGGTAAACTGGGGGTTTGTGTCCATCCCCAGGAGCCACAGCCCTGCCTGGCCCTCGGCCTGGAGGACAAGCAGAGAAGTGGCCAGGCCAAAGCCATGGAGGGGACACTTACCATGCAGACAACAGGCTCCATCAGCTTGTCACTGGGCACCTCCATCCAGGTCATCTCAGTAGCCCCAGGGTCCCCGGGCGAGCATGGCGTCAGGAGATCATCCACGATAGCACCGGGGGTGGTGCGGGAGGGGCCACGGACCTGCACAGAGCCAGCGGCACGTGGCACAGAGCTGGGGGGGGGACAGCAGCCACAGTGCCCTCCCCAGGACCATCCCCACTCACCTTCTTGAAGTGTGTGGCCGACTGCACCTTGCGCACGGGCTGCATCAGGGCGTCCCTGACGATGATGCTGATGTCGGCCCCCGAGTAGCCGTCGGTCTTGCGGGCCAGCTCCTGGATGTTGGCGTCCGTCAGGGAGTGCGGGGTGTTCCCCAGGTGCAGCCGGAACATCTGCGCCCGTGCCGCCTCCTCGGGCAAGGGGATGTAGATCCTCTTCTCGAACCTGGGGGCACGAGGGGTGAGCCCCAGTTCCAGCCCTGCTGGGGGGTGCCACAGGGGCTGCATGTGGGGCTCACCTTCTCCTGATGGCCGAGTCCAGCACCCAGGGGATGTTGGTGGCACCCAGCACCAGGATCCCGTCGCTGCTGTTCCCCACACCTGCAGGCAGATGGCTCAGAACAATCTCCAGGGAATCTCTGAGTCCCCAGGTCCTCACTGCCTCGTCCTGCTCCCACCCATCCCTGGCACGGGCCCCCACCCACCCTGCATCTGCACCAGGAACTCGGTCTTGATGCGCCGCGCCGCCTCGCTCTCGTTCTCGTTGCGGGAGCCACACAGCGAGTCCACCTCATCGATGAAGATGATGGAGGGCTTGTGCTGCCTCGCCAGCTCAAACAGGTTCTTCACCAGCCTGGGAACAAAGCAGGGCATGGGGTCCCCGCTCAGAGACCCTCCTCAGCAGCACCAGGGCAGCCCCACGTTCCTCCCATTCTGAGAACCCCACGCTGGCAGCAAGGGAAGTGCCACACCAGGGGCTGTGCAGCCCTTCAAGGGACTGTGCTCCCCCCTGGGACCCTGCTGAGGATTAAAGTAAATCTAATTATAGGGTATCAGGAATTAATAATGTAGAGTTAAGTTTAATTATTACTTGCTCACAGCTTGGCAGGGGTGGGCTCTCCTCAAAGCTCGCTGTAAGTGAGCTGTAAATGAATTCTGAGCATGGACAGATGGGAAACTTTCAGGTAAGAGCTGCAACTCCTGAGGGCCCCAAAGCTGCCCCAAGAAGGAGCATGAGAGCAGTTAATTAAGACAAGGAAACAGAATCCAGTTAAGTGTTAGAAGACCCCAGTTTAAAGTCACTGTTGGACTGAGAGGTCTGAAAAGATGAGGGGAAACAGGCTGTGAGGGAAGAGGCCCAGAGATTGCTTTGCTCAGATTCCCTCACTGAAGGCACCAGCTCCCAATTCCTTAATAGCCCTGTTACTGGGGTCCCCTGATGCTGGTGGCCCCTGCCCCAGCCTGGCTGGCCGGAGCACAAGGAGCCAGGCTGTGGCCATGTCCCTGCTGCCAACTTACTTCTCACTCTCCCCCAGCCACTTCGACGTCAGGTCAGAGGATGACACAGAGAAGAAGGTGGAGTTGTTGGCCTCAGTGGCCACAGCCTTGGCCAGGTAGGACTTGCCAGTGCCAGGCGGCCCAAAGAGCAGGATCCCGCGCCAGGGCGTGCGCTTCCCTGCAGCAGAGACCAGGGTCAGCCCCGTGCTGGGATCACCCACGGAGGGGTCACCTCCTGCACAGCCCCTTCCCACCACCACGGCCTCACCTGTGAACAGGTGTGGGAACTTGATGGGCAGGATCACAGCTTCCTTCAGGGCTTCCTTGGCTCCCTCCAGCCCGGCCACATCGCTCCACCGCACGTTGGGCTTCTCCATCATGATGGCACCTGTGAGGGTGTGACTCTGCTCACATGGCCCCACAGAGATGGGCACAGAGAGCAGTGAGAGTCAGAGTCCCTACCCACACCCCCAGTCCCGCCTCCCCTCAGCACAGCAGCTGTTTGGAGCAAGCAGCCCACAGGAGCACATCCCTGGGCCCCAGTCCCACAGCCTGTCCCCCTCCCCACGGCCACCCCTGACAGGGCTGTCAGTGAATCCCTCCTAACCCCAGAGCCTTGAACCCATCACAGCCTCTCTCACCCATCAGCTGCTCCTGCAACTTCTTCTTCTCAGGGTTCTCGCCCTCGCTGTCACTGTCACTCCTGGGGACAGGGGATAGGGCTCAGGAGTGGGGCTGGCACTGGTGGGGCAAGGGCGGTCCTGCCAGTTCCGTGGCCAGACAGGGGATCCCTCGCCCCCCCCGTCCCCCACGCACCCCTTGTTGTCATTCTGTGCTTCTCGGACAGGCCTCTTGCCGTGCCGGTCCTTGCCCCGCAGGTACTCCTTCAGCTTCTCGGCCCGGTCCAGGTACTGCACGCACTTGGCTCGGATGCTCTCCTTGGCCTTGTCGCTGTGAGCCTCATCTGCAGGGACCCGCAGGCGTCACCCGGAGCCCCCCGAGCGCCGGAGCCCCCGCGACCCCGGCCGCTCTGTCTCACATTTGATGGCGTGCAGGAAGTACTCCACGGCGTGCTGGTACAGCCGCAGCGCCTCCTCGTAGTTCTTGGCCCTGTCCTCCTCGGTGGCTTTGGTGACCAGGTCGATGGCTTTCTGCGCGGGGGGAGCGCCGTGAGCACCGGGGCCCGCCGGGGCCCTCCCCGCCGCCAGGGGCCGGGCCGGGCCCGCCCGCACCGCGGCTCTTCCGCCGCGCCCACCTCCCTCCCCACCGCGCCGGCACCGGGGCTCAGCAGGGCAGGGAGACCTCAGCGGGGCCCAGCACCGGGGCCGGGTGAGGCCTTTCCCCGGCCGGCACGGCGCCGGGCCCCGGTGAGGCCTGTCCGCTGGGCCGAGCGGAGGCCCGGGGGAAGGGGGCGCGGTGCCGGCGCGGCCAGAGCCCCAGCCCCGTCCCGGTGCCCGCGGTCGGTACCTGCAGGGTGGACGTTGTCATCGCATCGCCCGGTGCGGCCGCTCCGGCGGCCCCGGGACGGCGGCGGCGGCGGCGGCGGCAGCGACTGCGGCTGCGCCCGGCCGCGCGCCCCCTGCCGGCGGCACCGCAATCCGCACCGAGCGGCGCCCGGTGCGCGCGGCGAGCCCCGCCCACTGAGGGGCGTGGTTTGATGAGGCCGCGCCCAAAGCTATTTATGTCTTCGTGTGGGCGTGGTTTTACTGGTCACGCCCATTAAGGCTCCGCCCCAGGGACTCGGAGTGCGCGGGAACTCCCCAAAAACACGTGAACAGGTGGGGGGGGGGGGGGTGTGTTCGTTCATGAGTGTTTACATGTGTTTATGTGTGTTTGTGTGTGTTCATGTGGGTTTGTGTGTGTGTTCGTGTGTCTGTGTGTGTGTTTACATGTTCATGTGTGTCTGTGTTTGTGTGTGTTCATGAGTGTTTATGTGGGTTTCTGTTCATGAGTAGGTTCTGTTCATGAGTTTATGCAGGTTTGTGTGTGTATTCATGAGTGTTCACATGTGTTTGTGTGTTTGTGTTTGTGCATGTGTATGTCTTCGTGTGTCTGTGTGCATGTTCATGAGTGTTTATGTGGGTTTGTGTTCATGAGTGTTCACATGTGTTTGTGTGTGTTTGTGTTTACACATTTACGTGTGTCTGTGTTTGTGTGCATGTTCATGAGTGTTTATGTGGGTTTCTGTTCATGAGTGTTCATGTGTCTCTGTGTGTGTTTACATCTTCACGTGTGTGTGTGTGCCCAGGTGCACACCCCTGTGTGCACGGTATTTGCACACACACTGTGCACATATGTTCGGTATTTCCCTGTGCACACACACCCCCACATACCTGTCCCACAGCTGAACTGGCCCCGATGCCCTGCTGTAAAAGTTGCCCCAGCTCCCACAGAAATCCCCACAGAGACCCCACCCCAGAGATCCCCCCACTCCTTCCAGACACCCCCCATCCCCTCCATCATCCCCAGAGACTCCCCCAGCTCCCCCAGAGACCCTCATTCCTCCCCCCATCCCCACACCAGACTCAAAATGAGACCCGGAGCCCCTGGAAAAGGCAATCTGATATAAATAGCGATTTACAAAGAATACAAAAATAGAAGGAGGGGGGCAGCACCCGAGCCAGCACCCCACAGGACCCCAGAGCCCCCCGAAGCAGAGAACCGTGCAGGAGTTTGCCCGGGGGGTGCGGGGGTCCCGGCAGGAGGGGGGAGCCTGGAGGTCCCACCTGGGCCCCCCAGCCCGCAGGGTGTGAGAGCTGCCCCCAAGGGGAGGGAAAGTACAAAAAGCGAAAAGTGCATCAATCTACATGTCCTGTCCCGGGGGAGGGACAGCCCCGCAGGGTCCCTGCAGCCCCGGGCACAGACACGGCGTTTGTTCAGCCTTTGGGAGATCCGGGGGGCACTGCTGGGGGGCATGGGGGGGAGGCCAAGCCCCAGGGACCGGGACCTGTGCCAGAGCACCCCCTCTGCACCCCTGAGTGCCCCCGGTAAGACAAACGTGTCCCCTCACCCTGAGCAGGGTGTGGAGACCCTGTCATGCAGCAATGGGGGGGTCCCACAGCCCCAGCCCTGCCCCGTGTGGGGACAATGTGACCTCTTTGGGGGAAGCCCCAAGGCAGGGGGACACGGGCTCCCCTGGAGGTGAGCTGGGGGCACGAGGGGTCCCCCGGGCAGGGGGCCCGGGCTGGCCCCGCTCCAAGGCACAGGCGGTGAGATCAGCGATGGCTTCAGCCCCGGGGGGATTAAAGCTGGTGTGAGTAACCCAACCCCCAGCACTGGGGGCCGGCAGCGCAGCCGTGGGGCAGGAGGGGCTTGTCCGTCCTGCCGCACTCCCGGCGGCTCTCAGGGCAGCGATCCCAGTCCCAGCAAGGCACCGATGGGGCAGGAGAGGCTGGGGGGCCCTCTGTGACCCCCAGCTGGTGGTGACAGGGCGAGGGGGCTGGGGCACCTATGCCAGCAGCCCCATGCGGGTGACTTTGGCCGAGAGGAAGGTGTGCAGCACGAAGACGATGGGCTTGGGGCAGGAGTGCAGGTCCAGCGCCTGGGGGGAGATGGAGAGTGGTGTCAGCCCCCCCACATCCCACCGGGGACTGCAGGGCTGGGGGCTCCAACCAGCCAAACCCAGTGAGTCTGGGCAGCCGGGATGCTGCAGGGATGGGGGAAGCAGGGGCTCCCCTGGAGGAAGATCCCCAAACCAGGGGTCAGCCCGGCTGCCCCCTCCTCACCAGCTCGCCCTCAGGGCCCCCGAAATCCAGGTAGAGGGTCCTGATGCCGTCATCCGCAGACATCTTCAGCCGCTCGTAGGGGTAGCGGAAGAGCACGCTGGAGCCCGGCTCGTCCCGGGAGATGGTGAACCCGCCCTCGTAGTGGATGGAGAGCTGCACCTCCTGCCCGCCCAGCGTGCAGCCTGCGGGCACAGCCGCTGCCGTCAGTCCCGGAGGGGGCCCGGGGGCAGCCGTGGGGCCTGGGGGCAGCCGTGGGGGGCCCAGCACCGCGGCACTCACCCACGGTCACCTCCTTGATGAGCTCGGCGGCGGCGTGGCAGCCCTGCACCAGGACGCGCGTCCAGGCCGACAGGTCGCGGTGGGTCTCCACGCGGAACACGTGCATCTCCACGCCCTGGCGAGAGCCCGTCCGCGTGGCGAACGTCAGCTCCGAGCCCAGCGCGGGCGAGCGGCGCCCGGAGCCGGAGTGCACCAGCCTGCAGGGGAAGGCATGGCCGGAGTCAGGGGTACGACGGCAGTGCTGGCACCGCGTCACCCCGTCACCCCTGCCCTGAGGCACTGCCACGGCCCCCCAGCCCAGCTCACCTGGTGGCCACCAGCGGGTAGCTGTGGCAGGGCGAGGCCCAGGCGTCCCTGGTCCAGGGCATCCCATCATACAGCAGCAGGTCCTTCTCCGTCACTGCCATCAGCACCGGCCGCCACTGCTGCCGCCCGCCGTCCAGGCGTGCCTGCCGGGCACGGGGCACCGTGAGGGGTGCGCCACAGCCCCGGCACCCAGCCCTGAGCCCAAGGCAGTGGTTCCCCATTGCCAGGCAGCATCCACAGCACCCACAGAGATGGGCACAGAGAGCAGTGAGAGCCAGAGTCTCTACCCACATCCCCAATCCCGCCTCCCCTTGGTTTGCCATCCTGGAAACCAAGCTGGGAGCAGCCCCCAGGGGTCCTGCCCACCACACTGCCAGGCTGGCTGCAGCTCTCAGGCAGTGAATTCATGGAATAGGGAGGGTGTGATGAGGGTTTCCATCTGGAAAATGCCAGTGGGAGAAGGGGCTGAGGGCACAGGAAATGCTGCCATCACCAGGGCACAGCTGGATGGGAGAGCAGCAGAGCCAGAGCCCAGGCCGGGCTCTCTGGCTGCATCCACAGCCCCAGTGGCATCCTCGGCACATTCCATTGGCACTGCTGTCCCTGGGAGCCCCCAGGCACATCCCATCAGTGGTACCTGCTCGGCCAGCCAGGCAATGTGCTTCACCTCCCGGCCGCCGGCCGTGGGGCTGCCGGAGCCCAGCGTGGCGTTGAGCTCGGCCAGGACCTGGGGCAGCAGCGCGGTGATGTTGGCGTGCAGGGCGCTGAACCAGGCGTGGGCCGTGGCTGTGTCCCGGCAGCGCAGCACCAGCGTGTTCCGGCTGTCCGGAGAGTGCAGCTCGATCAGCCTGCAGGGGACAGGGACACGGCCCAGGCTGGGACACCAGCACTGCCTGGGCCCTGCGCTGCAAACTGGCTGCACTGCTTTGGGGCTTCTGCTGTGCATTTCCACCTGCCAGGGCTTTTAGCACTCATTTTAAGGCAGAGGGGCTGCCAGGGGGCTGGGAGGGAACATGGCATAGCCCTGGCCCTGGCCAAACCCTCTGCAGTATCCTTCCACAGCTCAGTGGGTGAAGCAGGGGGTCATGGCCTCAGCGAGGGGCAGCCCCCAGCTGTGCCCAGGGTGTCCATGGGGTGCAGGGTCCCTCACTCTGGCACTGGTGGCCAGACCCAGTCCTGTCCTGGGGTCTTTGGGGAGCAGGGTCCCCCCCACCGGCAGCCCCTGTCCTCACCTGTTCTCCAGGTCGGGCATGCTGAGGTTCCGGGCAGCAAAGCACATCTTGAGGGGGATCACCTTGCGGTCACGGGGGCCCTGGTGCTGGGGGGACCCCGAGTCCTCGCTGCCACTCAGGCTGGGGGACTGCGGGGCCGCCCCCTCCCACGGCAGGTCTGACACCAGCGATGGCTTCTTGATGTAGGGGGTCACCTCCCTCATGAACTTCACTGTGGGGAGGGGGCACAGTCAGGCCTGGGGAGGGTCCTGCACCCCACACCTCAGCCCTGTGCCCCAGGGTTGATCTGATAGGGCAATGTGACCCTCCCACACCAAGGCTTGGAGTGTCCTGGGGGCGTCCCACCCTGTCCGGGTCAGGGATGTCCCGAGTGAAGGACAGGGCTGACAGCTCATCCATCCCCGCTGCCGGCGCGGGCGTAGGAAGGGGAAGGCGCCACAGGACAATGGTGCTGGGCAGGAGGTCAGGCTGCAGCCCATCCTGGTCCCATCCCGCCCAGCCAGGGCTGTGCCCGCCAAGTTTCCAGCCCTGCCGGCGATGCTGGGCCGGCCCTGCCGCTCACGCCCCGACGGCAGCCAGAGGAGGAGGAGGAGGGTGTGCAGCCAAGACATCCCGGCTCCACGCGCCTCTCCAGGCCGGGAAGGAAGGAAGGAGGCACCAGCTCCAGCTCCTGCTCCCCCCGGAGCGTCCCAGCCCAGCACCGCCCCGCTGACAGCAGCCCTGGACCCCCGCCCGGCCCCGGCAGCCAAGGCCGAGGGAGGGACGCGCTGGGGACAGAGACGGGGCAGTGAGAGGGAAAACCAAAGCAAACAGCAAATAGGCTGCTCAGCACCGGGAAACCAGGGGTGAAAGGATCCTGGAGCCGGCACAATGCCACAGCCAGGCCCTCTGGAGGGGGAGTGACACCGATGGTGGGGCCCAGGCTGTGCTGCTGCCAATCCTTCCCTGCGGGGCTGCGAGCGGGAAGGGGGAGCAAGGAAGGGACGGCAGGGATGGAAGTGGGCAGGAGACACCGGCCCCCGCCTTCCCGCCGGCTCTGCTGAGCCACGAGGCGCTTGCCCTTGCTGTGGGCAGCACAGGAGTTAATATTAGCTGCTGCCGGCGCGCTGATCCCGGGATTACCGCCGTCCCACACCCCTAATCCCGCTCCGGGCCGGGCGGGGAGCGCCGCGGGCAGCAGCACAGCTCCCGCTGCGGGGCTGCTCGGCAGATGTTTGCCAGATGTGGGCAGCTGCCTCCAGCACGGGGAGGGAGCTCAGCACGCGGGGCTGCAGCTCACAGCGACCCTGCGGTGCAGGCACTGACCCCGGTGCAGTCAGGAGCGTGAGAGGCCAAGCTCGGCAGGAGTGTGGGTGCCCCGTGGTGACCCAGGACTGTGTGTGCTCATGGTGGGGGCAGCAGAACTGGCTCTGTTTTCAGTGGGATGCATCCATGGTGCAGGCAGGACATGGAGCACCTTATGCCAGGGGCTGGGGGCACCTGCAACCACCCCTCCTGCTTCTGTGGAGGCGGTGACCAGCACAGAGCTGCACTGCTGCCCTGGCAGGGCCAGCACCACCACCCCGGCACAGGCGCTGCCGCCCCACCCACGCTCACCACAGAGGAAGCCCAGCTGTCGCCTGCGCCCCTGGCCTGTCCCGCCGCAGGAAGGCGGCAGCTCCGGCTGCACCACGGCCTCACCGGGGCTCACCGAGCCCCTGCATGCAGCCGGCAGGGAACACCACCAGCCTCCCCAAGGCTTGTGCCCGGCCGTGCCCCTGGCAGTGCCCAGGGTCTGCACCGCACCCACAGCTCCCGGCGGGGCGGAAGGGCTCCCTTCCCCCAGGGCAGCCAGCGGGGCCTGTGGGTGCCCGGGGAGGTGCTTGGCATGGGCCCTGAGGCCAACCCAGCCCCCAGGATGGGTGACACTGACACCAGCCCCGCGGAGATGCCGTGCAGGGCTGATGGTTTCCCCTCCACCACTGGCACAGGGCCCGGGAGAAGCTCTGGCACCTGCCAGGGTGGTCACGGCTCCAGGGCTGTGAGGTGGGATGGGGCTGGATGGCACGGCCAGGTCCCCCACCAGCTCCTCTGTGGGCTCTGCTGATAGCAGCTGACCACGGGATGGTCCCACCAGAACCACTGGAGCAGCTGTGCCCAGCACAGTGAGAAGGGAAAGGAAGGGAAAGGAAGGGAAAGAAAAGGAAGAGAAAGTAAGGGAAAGGAAGGGAAGAGGCGTCTGCCACAGCACCCGTGCCCGTGGCGGAAGCGAGGGACAAACACAGCACAGGGCTGGAGCTCCTGTGGGACAGGATCAAACGGCTGGCAGCAGGAGGAAGGACGGGCAGCAGGAGGAAGGATGTGCTGAACCGGGCACGGGGTCCTGTGGGGACCCTCGCTGTGTTCAACAGCAGCACACGACCACAGCACCAAGCCTGACCCTGCTGCTCCACCTCGGCCCCTGTGGCACCCAGCCCTGCCCAAGCACCTCGAGCCAGCTGCACCCACACCAGGGAGCACAGCCATGTCCCCTCATGCCACTGCAGCGTGCCAGGAGTGTGTGGCAAAGCAGCAGTGCCCATCCCTGTACCGTGCCCAACAGGCACCGTGCCCTTGGAGCAGCCTCACGCAGTGGGGGACAGATGGACATGCCAGGACACCAGGACAGTGTGTGTGGCACCACAGCACTGTGGCACAGCCCACCCTGACCTACGGCACGGGGGCTGGTGGCCTCGCCGTGCCACGAGCCCCGTGCTGTGCCACCGGGCTGGGCAGGTCCTGCCCGAGCTTGTCGGGCTGCTGGGAACAGGAACAGGTCGGGCAGGAGCCGGTGGCTCTGTCGGGCCAGCCCCGAGCCGGCTGTGCTGGGCACAGGGCCCGGGGACACCGAGCCTGCGGGGGCTGAGCCTCAGGGACAGGGGCAGAGCCTGGACCAACGCCCCGGGTCACAGCCCTCCCTCGGGACACTCAGCCAGCCTGGGCATTGCCACCAGGGATAGGGGACAACCTGTTCGGGGGGACGCCACAGCCAGGGGACAACAAGTCTGTCCTGGGGGACCCCAGATCTGTCTCTGAGGGACCCAAGTCTGTCCTGGAGGAACACAATCAGTGATCACAATCCTGTCCTTGTCCCCAGCTGTGAGGGGTCCCCATCCCGCCGCAGAGGGAACAGCCCGAGCAGGGGGGACACCGCAGTCCCTGTCCCCGTGCCTGGGGGCCCCCCCGTGGCTTTTTGGGGACACAGAAATGTGCCAGGACTGGGGTGGGGGAGTGGCGTCCCACACCCGGAAAAGGGACCCAAAGGGGGTCCGGGAGTCCGGTGACAGCGGCAGGGAGGTGTGGTGGGAGCCGGTAACGGCGGGGGAGCACCGGGGCGGGGGACAGGAGAGCACCGGGGGCCCGCACCGGGGATTCGGGGGGAGAGGAAGGGGTTGAAGCGTTACCTTCAAGGATGACCTCCCTCCCGGCTCTCTTCAGCGCCTGCACAGCTTGATCGTGGGTGGCATCGCGGAGATCGACGCCGTTAACAGCGAGGATGGCGTCGCCTAACCGGAGCGCTCCGCTCCTTTCCGCCGCCAATCCCGGGAAGATCCGTGAGATCAGCACCGGCATCCGATTCTCCCGACCTCCCTTAATGCTGATCCCGAGCCCTCCCGCCTCCGCTTTCACCACCCGCACCCTCCTCACGCCACCGGGTGCCGCCGCCTCCGCGTTGCCGTTCACCACGCCGTTCACCACCGACGGATCGCCGGTCCCCGGTTCCGCCGTTAAGCTCAGCGTTTCCCCGGTCAGTTCCGCCGACACGCGGACCCAGCGCTCCCGCAGGAGCAGCTCCAGCAGCCCCGTTTTACAAGCCCGGGTCCACACGGCCATGCCGCCGCCGCCGCCGCCGCCGCCGCCGGTCACCGGGGAAGGGGCGTGGCCTGGCGGAGGGCGCGGTTTGCGGCCCCGCCCCCGCCCGCATGGCGCGCTGCGGTAGGCTCGGGGGCGCGGGAGGACGGGGTGGGGCCGCCCCGCCCCCACCGCCGCTGCCACCAATCAGAGAGGTGGCGGCTAAGCCGCCGCTGCTGTGATTGGTTGTGCTGAAGGGCGGGGCTTAACAAGCCACGCCCTCCGCGCCATGTCTGGCGCTGAGATTTGTTTGGCGCGCTGCGATTTATTTCACGAGTTACGCTTTAAATCTCCCGTGTTCTCCGGGGATCCCCGATTTCTCTCCCTCCATCCTCGGTTAATGTCGCTTCCCTGCCCCACGCAACACCTCCAGACCCCCGTCCTTAGGGAATGAGGCTGCCCAGCCCTAGGCAGCACCCATGGACCCAGAGGCTCACTGGGGAGAGAGAAGCCAACACTGGGATTAGACACTGTGAGAGAAAGGGGATGGAATTTGGGGTGTCACCTTGTCCCCGCGCCCCGGGGAGGAGAACTGGAAGGATATGAAAATCATGATGACATGATGGTGGAGTGACAACAGGAATGAGCCCTGAGCCTGGGCATGTACACAACAGTGAGGTTTTATTCCTACAGCACCTTAAGAAAATTCTTACAGTGCCCCAGGAAGGCAGCACAGAGACAGTTCCTGAAGCTGGAGTGGCTTCTGGTCTCAGGTGCCAAATTTCTTCTGCTGGACAGGCAGAGGCAGCTGGGTTTTGAAGTCCATGATGGGTCGTTCCACCACAACCAGGCAGTTCTTGTCCAGCAGATCCATGAAGAGCAGTGGCTGCAAGGCAGGAGATGGGAATCGTGGAATAAGGGAATGGTTTGGGGTGGAACGGACCTTAAAGGGATCTCATTCCACCCCTTGCCATGGACAGGGACACCTTCCACTGTCCCAGGTTGCTCCAAGCCCTGTCCAACCTGGCCTTGGACACTGCCAGGGATCCAGGGGCAGCCACAGCTGCTCTGGGCACCTGTGCCACCCTCCCAGGGAACAATCCCATCCCACTATCGCATCTAACCCTGCCCTCTGGCAGTGGGAGCCATTCCCTGTGTCCTGTCCATACCCTCGTTCCAAGTCCCTCTCCAGAGCTGAGCACCTCCCTGACCCCGCTCCCCAACACCATCACCCACCTGGAACTTCTTGCAGATCTTGAAGGCGTGGAGCTGCCTCTTCCTGGCGGTCTCTGGGAGCTGTTTGAGGGTGCTCTGGTTCATCAGGAGGGCGCTGTCGTCGGGCAGGGGCTGCGGGAGGGCAGCGGGCAGAGCACAGGTCAGGCTCTGCAGGAGCCCCCCGGCACCCCCAGCCCTCCCGCCCGCTCACCAGGGACTTGTCGAGCACGCAGAGCAGGTATGTGTCATGGAGCAGGATGTGCGAGGGGTTCTTGGGGTTGAAGGTGATGTGAGTGATGGGCGAGTCCCGCTCCAGCCAGGCGCAGTGCAGCCCCCGGCTCTGCACGGCACGGCTCCAGCTCGTGTACTGCCTCTCGGGGATGCTGAACTCAAACAGCTGCAGGGAGCACAGCAGGGACACGCTCAGGGTGTCTGCTCCTGCCAGCAGCTCCAGCCAGGGCCCCGAGCCAAGCCAGACAGGGAAGGGAGCAGGGCCACGAGAGCTCGACTAGCAGAGCTCCTACCTGCTGGTCCGAGTAGGCAATGACGAGGTTGTTGGTGCTGGGGTGGATGGCGAGGGCAGATACGGCACAGTCATAGTTGGGCACCACGCAGTGATGCTGCAGGAGGGGACAGTGCACTGACAGGACCCGCCAGGGCCACTGCTGACAGCTCTCCCACACACCCACCCTGACCAGAACCTCCAGGACTGCCTCTGACCCCCTTTCCCACACACCCACCCTGACCAGAACCTCCAGGACTGCCTCTGACCCCTTTCCCACACACCCAGCCCTGATCAGAACCTCCAGGACTGCCTCTGACCCCCTTCCCACACCACACCCACCCCAGCCCTGCTCCAGGGATGCAGTGATGGCTCCCAGCAGGGCAGTGCCTGCTGAGTTCCCCATCCCGTGTCCCCTAAGGCTGGGGGGTCACTCCCAGGCCCACCTTGAAGCTTTTCAGATTGTAGATGTGGATGGCCCAGTCTCCACTGACAGCTGCCAGCCAGTGCCCATCCGCACTCGGTGCCAGCAGGTAAACGGCCTCGGAGCAGCCTGCAGAGAGCCTCGGGCTCAGAGGGGTGCTGGCAGCTCCAAACCTCAGAGACACCCAGCCCCACGTGCCCCCTGATTGCCCAGTGCCAGGCCACGAGGGCACAAACACCCCCCGGAGAGACTCACACACCCCTGAGGGCAGGAGAGGGGGACACCCCTCTCTACACCCGCAGGGGAGGGGGATGCAGAGCCCAGGAACCCCCAGCCCCAGCCCAGCTCCCCCCAGCCCACACCTGAGGGTGGTCGCAGCGTGTGCAGGTGTTTGCAGCCCCCCGGCTCCAGCAGCTGGAAGACGTGGACAGATCCTCGAGCAGAGGCCACGAAGAGGCTCTCGGAGTCGGCAGAGAACTGGAGCTGGTAGGCTGGGGGCAGGAGCTTGGGCACTTTGGGGACCTGGCAGCAGGGAGAACGCAGCTCTGGCAGCCACTCCACTGCCACCCACATCCCCACGAGTGAGAGTGGCCAGGCCAGCCCCCGCAGCCCCCCAACCTCTGACCTTCCTGAGGCTGATGCTGTCCCCGTCGCAGCGCACGCGGTACAGCTGGAAGCGGGAGGCCGTGGAGTAGCCCAGCCAGGTGCCACAGGGTGAGATGGAGCTGCAGTAGATGTGCTCCGGGCCCTGGGAACACCACGGGACTCAGGGAGGCCCAAGGGACCCCCAGAGCCCAGCACACAGCCCTCAGCTGCCCCAGGGACACCCCAGCCCGCTCAGCCCTACCTTGCTCTTGAGCTGCACCAGGTGCTCGGGCATCCGGCACAGGGGAAGGACCTCGCCGTCCTTTCCTGGGGAAGGAACCACACCGACCACCAGTGAGAGTGGGGAAACCACACCGGGCTCTCTGAGCAGTTGGGGATCCTGGGGGAGCGTCCAGACCCTTCCCTGAGGCCCAGGACAGCTCAATCCCAAAATCCTGCTGGCAGCCTGCGCTCTGCCAGGGAGCCGACACCGGAGAGCTGCACCTGTGACTCACCGGTCTCCTCAGTGGAGCCAAGTCTCCAGAGCTCCAGGTACTGGGAGAACTGGAAGAGGAGCAGCCGGGCTTTCCTGGCGCAGGAGACGAGGCGTCGCTGCGTGGAAAAACAGGCAGGATGTGAGGGACACACAGCCTGGCACAAGGGGCTGGGGCACAGCCGGAATGCCCTGGGGTGCTGGTGACTCTGAGCAGGGGGAGAGCAGGGAAATCAGGTCCGTGGGATGGGAGCCTGGAGATGGAGACCCAGCAGGACCAGCAAGACCAGCTTGACAACTTGCACTGCTCCTTGGCAGAGCTTCCAGATGTACCAGGAAAGGAGACACAACGGGGCAGAGGAGGGAGCCAGGCACAGGGAAGGAACCCTGGCAGGGTAATGAGGGCACCTGGAGGGCAGGGAGATCCAGCCCTGCCTGCCCCACCAGCTCCAAGCCCCCAGTCCCTGCACCACTCACGTGGGGGAAGGTGAATTTTCGGAGCGCTGCGTCGTAGCTTTTCTTCTGCACCTTCTCCATCAGCGGGCGGATCACCAGCTGGGCGTCCAGGCCTGGAAGCCAAGCACAGATCAGCCTGGCAGGTACCAGGAGGGCAGACCCTGCCCAGTCCCGGTGCCCCCGGCAGGGCAGTCGTACCCCCGGAGATGAGGGCGGTGGGGCTGTGCGCCACAGCCCGCACGTCGTGGCTGTGGAACTGGAAGGGCTTGGTCCGCACCCAGCGCTTCTCCAGCCCGCCCAGCCTCACGGGCAGCAGCTGCAGATGGTAGGTGGCCCCGGTCGAGGTGCCCACGATCATGCTGTCCTCCTTCTGCATAGAAAACGGTGCTGTGGGAGCAGACTGGGAACAATAGCAAGGCACTGCCAGGAGGCAGAGTGCAGCAGCTCTTGCTCCCTGTCAACCAGGGGGGACCTGTGGGTGTCACCCACCTGTGACACGGCCAGCGAGAGCACGGCCGAGGTGCTGACGGTGTGGGACTCTGCCAGCGTGCCCTGCTCCCAGTCCCAGAACTGCACCCTCCCAAAGGAGTCGGCGCTGACCACGGTGCCGCTGGACAGGAGGGCAATGGCCCACACCACGCACTCGCGCTTGGCCTTCTCCACGTGGTGGTTCACCATGACCCTCTGCACCGTCTGGCCTGCAGTGCGAGAAGGTTGGGGGGGGCCGGGGGATCCCCCAGTGCCTGGCAGGGCCAGTGGGTGCCGGTGGTCCCGGGGGATGGGATGGGATGGGATGGGATGGGATGGGGATGGGGATGGGGATGGGATGGGGCTGCTCCCGGGACAGGAGGTACCTGAAGTGACGTCAATCACACGAAAGAAGTCGATGGAGCCGGCCACGATATGAGTGTCCGAGGGGTGCCAGGACAAGCACAGGACACGGCCTGGGGAGGGAGGGAAGCTCCGTGTGAGAGCCCACGGTCACCGGGACAGCCGGAGGGACGGTGCTGCAGCCAGGACCCACCTTTCCGCCTGTCCAGGTTCCGTTCGAACTGGATCCCCCCAGGAACCACCTGGAAGATCTTGACAGAGCCGTCCTCGCAGCCGATCTGCGGGGGCCGGGATCAGCGCGGGGCTCAGCAGGACCCTCTCCCCGTGCCGCCGGCCCCGGCGCCGCTCCCGGCGGGACTCACCGCCAGCTGGGTGCCGGTGCTGTTGGCCACCATGCTCCAGATGGGTCCCCCGCCGCCATCCAGGCCGCGGGCCGCGCTCAGCCCGGACAGGTCGTACTCGGTGATGTCCCCGCCGAGCCCGGCCCCGAAGAGCCGGTCCCCGGCCGCCCAGCACAGCGACTCCACCGACCGCGCCTCGTGCCCGGGGATCACCTGCGCAGGGACCGGGTCACACCGCGGCACCGGGAGCACCCGGTACCACCCGGTACGCATCGGCAGGGCCAGATAACGCCCGGTACAGCCTCGGTGAGGCCCGACACAGGCCCGGTACAGCCCCGGTGCGGATCCGTAGGGCCAAGTAACGCCTGGACCCGGCTCGACACGGCCCGGCTCGGCTCGGTACAGGCCCAGCACAGGCTCGGTGCCGATCGGAAGGACCAAGCACGCCCCGTACGGGCTCGGTACGCGGCCGGTAGAAGCTCGATAAAGCCCGGTACGGCTCGGTACAGGCCCGGTACATCCCGGTACATCCCGTGCCGGCGCCCTCACCTTCTCCTGGAAGTAGTTGGCGGCGAAGTTGTACACCTCGACGGCGCCGTCGGTGCGGGCCAGGGCCAGGCGGGAGCCGCGGGGGTGGCAGGCGAGGCAGCGCACGCCCGCCGGCACCAGCCCGAAGAACCGCACCCGGTGCACCTCGAACTCGCCCATGGCGCTCCGCCGGCCCCGGCGCCGCTTCGCTCCCGCTCCGCTCCCGCTCCGCCCCACGTGCGCGCGGCGCGCCGGAACCGGAGCTGCCCCGGGGCCGCGCGGAACCGGAAGCGGAAGCGGCGGCGGCGCGGCGGGAGATTCGTGCGGGGCCGGCGGCGGGTGCGGTAGCGGAGCCGGGCGGCGGGAGCGGGGCGCGGCGCGGGGCGAGCGCACGGTGCAGGCGGGAGGGGTCTGGCCCCGAGAGACCCGGCCGGGCCGCCCCGGGCCGTCCCCGCCGCACCGGCGCCGCTGGAGGGCACCAGCGCCCCGCGGGACCGGGCGGCGGCACGGGGGGCGCAGGGCCCGGGGGAGGCTGCAGGGCCCGCAGGGGGGTCTGGGCCTGGGGGCCTCGGGGAGGGGAAGGGCCTGGGCGGGTCTGGGCTCTGGGCATGGCGGCTGCGGCTGGATCTGGGGGGACCTTGGGGGACCGGAGGGCCTGGGGACATTCTATAGGGCCCGGGGCGTGGATCTCAGGATCTGTGGGCCCAGAACGGGATCTGTGCATGGGGGGGTCTGTGGGGCCCGGGGGTGGAAATTCATCCTGGAGCCCCCAGATGGGGAGGGCCAGGGGCTCCTGCTCCCCTCCCCGCTGCCCCTGTCCTGACCGTGTCTCTGCAGCCCCTGGCAGGCCCGGCATGGTGCAGATCGTCATCTCCAGGTGAGCCCCGTGGGTCCCGTCCCCGTGGCCCCTGTGCCTGCTGGGGCTCGGGTGACCCTCCCCATGTCTCCCCCAGCGGTGGCACCGGGGCCCTGGCACAGTGGGTGCTGCTGGAGCTGCAGGGCGAGGTGGAGCCCCGGCAGAGCGGGGACCTGGCCGGGAGCCTGCTGGGAGACCTGCACTACACCTGTGAGGTGAGGCTGGACACCACTGGGACCTGCCGGGGACAGTCCAGCCCAGCCTCACCCTCTGCTCTCCCCAGGGTGTCCCTGTGCTCATCGTGGGTCACCACATCCTCTACGGGAAGGTGGTGCAGCTGGAGAAGCCGTTTGCTGTGCTGGTGAAGCAGGGAGGAGCCTCCCAGCCCCACTGCCACTACACCGTTACTGCCCTCATCAAAACCAAACTGCTCTTCAAAACCCGCCCCAAGCCCATCATCACCCACGTGCCGAGGAAGGTCTGAGGGGAAGGATGTGGGCTATGAACTGTGATCTGCTGCTAGAAAAAGCAGCAGGGGCTTGGGGAGATCCAGGACCTCATCCCTGTCCTGCACAGGGGACTCTGGCACTGCTGGGTCCTGTGTCTGAGCACCCAGAGCCCTTCCTGGGTCACTTGTCACCCCCAAAATGACTCTTTTCAAGAGCAACCAAGCTCTTGGCCACAGATGCTGTGGATCACCCCAAGGCCATGGCTTCTGGTAGGTAGGGACCTCCTGTAAGCCTGGGCAGGGGTGTCCCACCCAGGGGCTGCCCACAGTGTGCAGCAGGCCCCAGGGATCCATGGAGGTGCCAGAGTGGAGATGTCTCCTTCCATCTGCTCCCTGCAGCTGTAGGGACACCAGTGCCACGCAGGGACTCAGGACCAACCTCCTTCAAGTTGGGCAGGGGGTTCAGGGACCCTCCCCAAAACACACCACGTGTCCTCACTTCAAGTCTTTATTTCCACAACTCCGTCAGGATATAAAAACCAGCCTTTTCCACCCGAAACATGGAAAAAAATTCCCCTGGCAGGTTCAAAAATAAATAGATTTACAAACCATCTGCAACAATACCAAAGAGCTACAAAAGTCTTCTAAAAAACCTTGTATTAAATTAAACAAAAACCAGCTAAAAGCTCCGTCGTAGAAAGGGGTTTTTATCCAAGTCCTGAAAAAAGGACCCACAGGTGAATTCCCTGGGGAGGGGAAAGTTGGGAAGCACCTTGCCTAAATCCCCATCTCCCCACTGTTGGGAAGGTAGCGGGGTGGGAGTGATGGGGCCGTGGGGTGGCCAGAGCATAACACAGCCCCAGAGGGTCTCCAGCAATGCCCCGACCGGCACACAGCCCCCCAGTTTTCCCAGTCTCTCCATGCCAGGATCCCCCCCTTGGCTCTTTGGCAAAGCTGAAGGAACCTGCTGCCCTCCTGGAGCAGCCAGAGCCCCGAAAGGCCTGGGGGGCTGCCCATGGATACGCGCCCGCACGCAGCCGTGGGGCAGAGGCAGCACAGCCAGCAGTGCTGGCACACTGTGTGTCCTGGGGTGGGGAGTGCTCTAGCACCACGGAGGTGGGACTGAAATCCCTGTAAAAGCACCGAGGGGTGGAAGGTTCTGGAGTGGGGTGTGGGGAGCGCGGCCAGCAGCGCTCCACACCAGGATGCTCCATAGGGCACAGCTGGGATGTAGCTGGCAGCACCTGGCTGGGTGATGGGCAGCCCTGGCTCGGCTTCTCTGTGGCCAGCTTGGGATGGAAAAAGGAAAGTATAGGAAAAGTTTGCACCTTAATAGAGAATAAAAGCAAGATTTCAAGATCTGATGAGAAATGCCAAGGGTTGGGAGCGCTCAGCGCTACCCAGCAGCTCCGGGATTGGGAAAAAGGGGCCTGGGGGTGTTCACTCCAGCACGTGGGATCACCCCAGCACCTGGTGGTTCCGGGACGGGGAAGAGGGGACGGCGGTGGTTACCCTGACACGTCGGGTGGCCATGGCACCGGGATGACCCTGGCACGGGACCACCCCACGGTCAGACCTCAGTGAAGACCAGCCCACACTGCTCCTGCCTCTTGCCGCAGCGGCGGGCAACGATGGCCAGGTAGAGGGTGAGCAGGGCCACCCAGTAGCAGGCGTAGAGGATGGCACCTGAGACAAGGAAGGCCACCTCAGTCTCGCTGAAGAGGTCCTGGCTGTAGGCGGTGTAGGCCAGCCCGCCCAGCAGCACCGCCACCCACACCGACACTGGCAGCAGCCCCACGAAGTTCACCACGATGGTGCGGCGCCCTGAGGTGCCCCAGCCCGACTTGTTGATGGTGGCAATGGCGAAGATTTTGGCGGGCAGCAGGCTGGACATGTAGAGGAGGGCGTAGAGGGACATGAAGATCATCTCGGCGCTGCCGCGCAGGAAGCAGGCGTAGGTGGCCTTGATGACGCCCACCAGCTGCACCGTCAGCAGGAACAGGAGGATGTTCCAGACGCGGCCGCGGTAGAAGAGCTGGATGACGGTGGCAATGAGGAAGAAGGGGAAGAAGCCGGTGACCACCGACTCGTAGGTCATCCAGAGGTGGTGCTTGTGGAACCAGAGCGCGTTGTAGAGCCACTCGCGGAAGTAGGACTTGCTCCAGCGGGTCTGCTGGTTGAGCCAGCGCAGGTACCGCGTGGGCGTCTCTGTCAGGCACTTGGAGCGAGCCGTGTACTTGGTCCGGTAGCCCAGGCTGAGCACGCGGTTGGTGAGGTGCCGGTCGTCCCCGAAGCTGCACTTGCTGCCCAGGAAGGTCTGGTGGTACCAGTCCTCGAGGAACTGCTGCAGCAGCGCATTGCGGTACATGCCCAGGGGGCCGCTGATGCACTGCACGCACCCGAAGTACGACTGGCACGCGCGCTCCACGTTGAAGGCCATCCAGTACCGCACGCTGCTCAGGAAGGAGAGCCACGAGTCGTACTTGTTCAGGATCTGGGGAGGGGATGGATGTGAGCCCGGGCAGCGCTGCAGCCCCATGGGCCCCCAGCCCTGCCCTCCCTCACGCCAGGGTACCTGGACGTCGCCGCCGACGCCGCCGACGTGGGGGTCGGCCTCCAGGATGCGGAGCATCTCGGCGGTGCAGGCGGGGTCCAGCACCGTGTCTGAGTCACACACCTGGGGGCAGAGGGAATGTGGAGCCCCGCTCCCGCCGCCCACGCGCGCCCGGCAGACAGCCCAGCCCACAGCCAGGCAAGCCTGAGCCACGGACGGCGAGACCAGGCAGAGCCCCGGAGACCGGCAGGCGATGGAGGGGAGCAGAGCAGCCGGCGGTGCTGGGGCACCGCTGCCCAGGACACCCATCTCTGGCTGCTGACGCTGAGGGAGGACCTGTTCCAGTCACCACATGTGGGGACCTTGCACTTCGTGCCACACTGTCCCACGGGATGACACCACAGCAAGCCATGTGCTGAGGAGGAGCTGATGGGACACCCGTGGGCAGCAGTCAACACCTCAGCCACCCCAGCGTGTGCAGCCCCCAGCCCTGGTGGCTCTAGGCCAGTGCATGGGGCCAGATCCAGTGCCAGGCACCCAGGTGCTACTGGGGATTCCCGGGGCACCTCTGCCCAGGACGCTCACTGCCCACATCCCCCAGCCCGTGCACCCACCTGGATATAGTCCACGGAGTCTCCGAGCGCCCGGAAGGCCGTGTACATCACCTCCCGCTTCCCGCCCCACTTCTGGAGGATGCAGGAGTAGGTGTTGCTGCGGACCAGTGCCTGAACTCGGGCCAGCCCTTCCCGCAGCCCGGCCTCCGTCTCCCCCTCGCCCCAGGCGTGGAAGTTGCTCCTCCAGATGTAGCTGCCGGAGTGCTCAGAGCCCATCACGTCGTGGAAGATGTCCAGCATGTAGGTGTCGTCGGGGCCGTTCCCGTCCACCACCATCACCACTTTGAGGTCGGGGAAGGCGATGCGCTTGACGGAGCGTAGGCACTTCGTCAGGTAGTCGGGGTCCTCCTGGAAGGCGGCGATGCAGAGGGCCACGGAGCGCCCCGGCCGCACCGGCTGCCCCTCGCCCCGCATGCGCCGGTGCTCCAGGAAGGCGAAGAGGCTCTGGATGAAGAGGTGCAGCCCCAGGATGGCCCCGTAGAGGCCGAAGGAGAGGTAGTGCTTCTCCGTGTGGATGAACTGGTACCCTGTGACGTAGGCGGCCAGGATTCCCCCCAGCACCGCCACGGCGAAGAGGCTGGTCCCCACGACACGCAGGGCCGTGGAGAGGCTCCCTGGCATCTGGGGGGACATGGGACACCATCAGGGCACGGGGACATCCTCCCCATCAGGTCACCCGGAATGCAAAAGCGGGGTGGCCCTGCTCCTCCGCTGCCCCACGGCCACCCTGTCCCTAGCCGGCCACTGGTGTGGGGGTGACACCTTCCCAGTGCCTCCGCGGGGCCAGAGGAGGTGCGGGGGTCCCCCACACCCCGCTCTGTGTGTGCCAGGTGAGGTGCAGGGGTCCCAGGTACCCCACCGAGCACGGTGCCAGCACCCCCGTCCACCCGGGCAGGAGCACGGCTGCTCGCAGGCGATGGCTGGGCTGGAGGACAGGGAAGGGCACGGGGATGTCAGGGACCGGGTGTCCCCGGGGAAATCTCGGCCGCCCAGAGCCCTCCGCCACCCGAGCGTGTGCAGGGGACCCCCGGCTGCGGGGACGGCAGCAGCGAGACCCCCGCCCGCTGCGGGATGGGACGGGCAGCGCGGGCAGGACGGGACTGCGGGGAGGCACCGGGACGCGGGCAGGGGGTGCGGGCAGGTCGGGGGTGCCCGAGCACGTGCTGGGGTGCGGGCAGGGCGCGGAGCCAGCCCCAGGGACCCCGGCGGCACCTCCCGGGCAGCCCCCTCCGGCTCCCCCCGGTCCCGCAGCCCCCGGCGCTCCCGGCTCCTCCCGGTCCCGCAGCCCGCGGCGCTCCCGGCTCCCGTTACCCCCGGCCCCGCAGCCTCCGGTGCTGCCGGGCTCACAGCACCGCGGGGGACCCCGAGCCGGCACCAGCGGGCCGGGAGGGAGGAGGAGGGACCGAGACTCACCGTGGAGGTGCCGGTGGTGGTGGTGCCGCCGCTCCCCACCCGCCGCCGCCGCTGTGCGCCCGGCCCGGCCCGTGCGGCCCCTTTATACCGCGGCGGGGCCGGCACCGCCCGCAGCCCGCGGGGGCCCCGCCCGGCACCGGCACCGGCACCGCCGGCACCGCCCCCGGCACCAGCACCGGCACCGGCTCCAGCTCCGCCCGCAACCCCCGGGAACCCGCCCCGCACCGGCAGGACCTGGCACCGGCCCCAGCCCCGCACTGCGGGAGTGATGACCGGCACCGGCAGCACCGGCAGCACCGGCGGCGCCGGCGGCACCGGCATCAGCAGCACCAGCGCTGCACCGGCACTGGCACCATCACAGGCATTACGGCACGGCTGCTATACCGGCGGCACCGGCAGCGGCTCCGGTGCTGCACCGGAACCGGCATCACCATCACCCGGCACCGGCATCAGGTGCGGGCAGGGCACGGAGCCAGCCCCAGGGACCCCCGGCAGGCGCTCGGGGTGGAGGAGGCACTGGGAGGGTGTCACCCTGTCACCCCCAAGGCAGTGACCGGTGAGGGTCAGGGACAGGGACCGGCCACTCCATCTCCCCCCGCCCCGCTCTTGGGACCCCTCTGATGACACCCACGTGTCACCTTCCTGTCCCACCGTGTGCCCCCGCGGCATAAGCCACCCGTGTCACCCTGTCCCCGAGACCGGTGGGTGCCAGGGCAGGACCAGGGGCATCCCGGGGACAGCAGCACCTTGTCCCTGTGCTGGCCCGATGGCAGGGGACAACCCGCTCCTGGAGGGGCCACTCCGAGTCTGTAGGAGCACAGCCTCAACTCGGGGCTCAAATTCAGCACTTATGGGTTTCTCAGCCCAGCCGTGTCCTGCTGTGCTGGGAGCTGGGGGTGAGGAAATGCCGAGGCTGGCTCGGAGACTCCGAGCACCAGGAGCTGGGAAAGGGGATCCCTGCAGCAGGAGCACCCCGGCTGGGGACATGGCCAGGACTCCCAGCCTTGCAGGGAAGGGGGTGCTGGACACCCCACACCTGGCAGGACACAGGGCAGGTGGGAAATGGGGCTGTGCACAGTGGGGCTGGGCTGCCAGGCGAGCAAGGGGCCACCAAGCTGGGTCCCTGAGGACTCTGCTCCTCCCACACTGTGGGTGTGCAGCAGCTTCTGGTGCAGGAATGGGGCCCTTGGTGCTGCAGCGCTCATGGGGACTGCCCTGCCTGGAGGGAGGAGGTGACTCTGATGTTGGGGTATCCCTGAGCACACAGTGGTGAGTGGTGATCCCAGCCAGGTACCCTGCAGGGTCTCTTAGCTCCTCCTGAGCATGGAGGGGCTCTTGGTGCCACACCAGAGGGGCCCATCCTCAGACCCTGCGGTGAGGGAGCCCCCAAACTCTTCAGCAATCCTGTGGTGTGAGTACAGTGCCAGGGAGGGCCACAGAACTCCACTCTGGGGGTGCAGACAGCAGAGCCCCCCTCCCTCTGGACTCCTCTCGGGGACAGCCACACATTTGGTGCTGCCTAGCCAAAGGGAGCCTGAAGCACTGGCTCAGGCTGCTTGCCCAACTCAGGGCTCACCCTGGGGGTGTTACAGGGTCTGGGGCATGACCACGATGGCACCCACGAACTTTGCCCGGCCCCACAGACGCCACGGACACAGGGATTATTAGCATGTCTCAGTTTAATCCCACACCCCGTCCCAGCGAGGCTCCCCTCCCACCCGACACCGCCAGCGGCATCCTGCAGACCCCAGAGAGGAGCAGTTCATTGCCAGGGGCTCAGCCCCACTACGGCAGCACCACGATCTTCTTCTCCAGGGTCTGTGGGGGGAACAGGACCCTCCTCATGGCACTGTCCAGCTCCTCCAGTGCCAGCTGTGCGTGCAGCACCGTGGCGGCGTCGCGCTCCGCCGTGGCCACGTGCTTCAGCAGGCGGTACAGGTCCCGCAGCACGTCCCGCAGCACCTGGGCACGGCACGGGGCAGGGTCGGCCTCAGCACCGCCCCTCGGCGAGTCCCGGCAGGCTGGGACTGCCCCTTCCCCCGGGGCAGCGACCGCGGCCACCGCCAGCGCAGCCCCGGCCCCCCCGTGACTCAGTTTCCCCACACGGCAGCAGCACACTGTGGTGATCCTTCAGCCCAGGGCCATGGGGGCATGTCGGGATCCCGGCTGCGGGGATTCCCCTGGGGAACTGGCTGTTTCCCCCACGGGAGCTGAGTCCCAACACGCTTGTTACTGGGAACTGCGGAGGGAGGCCACAGTGGTGGAAAATCCGGGCATTTCCAAGTCAAATCAGGATGAACAACTCCCACAGCTTCCAAGAGCTGGCACTGCCCCAGCATGGCGTGGCACTGTCCATGGCACAGCCCAGCAGCTCAGAGGGACACCCCCACAAAGCCCCCCTTCCCCAGGATCTGTTGAGGGAACCCTTTAGTGGGGGATGCCCAAACTGGACATCTCAGTCCCTTGGGACTTTCCCTGGAAGCCGCTTGGGAATGAGCCCTGCAGCCCCTACAGAGCACAGGCCCCCCCCAAGGTGTGCCCAGGAGCCCCTTGGGGGCTGTCCCTGCCCCAGGGACAGGCAGGGGCTGACCCACCTCAGTGACCTTCTCACTCAGCCCCCGTAGCAGCAGCACCACCACGTGCACAGCAGCTCTTCGCACTTCAGCCTCGGGGTCTGTCCGGGCTATGGCTGTCACACAGCAGGTGACCTGTGGGGACAGGGCAGGGGGGCATCACCAGGGGCTGAGAGATGCAGGGGATCCCATCGGAGCAGCCACTGACACGCTGGCAATGGCCCAAGAACGAGGAAGGGACCCTCGTGCCCTGTTGGGTGCAGGCTCCCAGCAGCTCCCCCCAGGGCCAGGCGGCACATGGATGCCTCAGGAAGATGGATAAGAGTCTGTATAAAAATCAGGCAGAGCCAAAGGAATCTAATTAAATCCCGGCAGTGACAGCCGGGAGAATTAGCAGAGCTCGCACCTTCCCAAAATAGCAGCGTGTGGCTCACTGGCATCACATCAACTGCCGGGATCCACCGGTGCTGAGCAGGAACGGAGCAGCCCCGCTGCCAAATCCACGCTGTCTCACTCCAGGAGCACCGGAGGGGGCGGGGGTGTGAAGCCCTGGCTCCCGTGGGGCACAGACCCATCGCCTCCAGGGCTGCTGGGCTCCTGGGGTGTCGGGCTCACCCCACTGGGATCTCCCAGCAGCTCCCGAAGCCAAATCTCAGCCACAGCCTGCAGCCGGGGCGGGTGAGGGCCAGCTCCCGATACTGATGATACCGATAATGATAATTAAGATAACGGGAGAGTAACAAGGTGTCATTAAGCGGGAGGTGTCTCTGGCAGGCACCGCTTGTGCCCCCAGGTCTCCTCTGGCAATGGCTGCCACGGGTGGAGCAGGCACCTAAAAATCAGGGCTAGAAGGCTAGAACCTCCCTAGTGTTTGCTTCAGGCCCCATGACTTTTATACTCCACAATATCAGCAATTATCACTCATGTCCTTAATGGAAATGTCCCGTTTCCATATGGAAATGTCCCATTTCCACATCCTCAGCAGCCCAACCATGTGCTAACAAATGCGCTCGTTAAGGAGAACGCTCCCCAGGCAGGGTGAGGGTCAGGATGGGGCCGGTACCTCCTGGATGATGGATCCCAGCTGGAAGCCCAGGTGCTGGCAGAGCTCGCCCAGGTTGGAGAGGCTGCTGGCCCGCAGGGCTGCGTCGGGATCGCGGGCACCCCGCAGGAAGGCGCGGATCAGCGGCTCCCGGTGCCGGAACACCATGTCCCCTGCCAGGAGAGCAGAGCCCGTGTCACCAGCAGGGAAAGGCCCCCCTGCCTGCCAAAGCCCTGGCTCCGTTGGGAACAGATGGGTGGGGCATCTGCCTTGCAGCACCACTGAACAGCTGGATGCAACATCTGGAGTGTGGCTTGTGCCCCTCAGCACACACCCCGTGTCACAGAACCTGGGGCTCTTTGGCACATTCCAGTCCTCCCATGGGGTCACTCATGGTCCTGCAAACACACCAAGTGTGAATCTCAAATTCTGGCATCATCCAGACCCAATCCCCTGCCCCAATTAGCACACAGAGGTGCTGTGGATGTGTGAGCTGCTAATGAGAGCTCACGCCCGTGCTCAGCATCCACAACCATCCCAGGAGCGTGGTCATCCCACAGCAGCTGTGTGCCCCACAGTGTGGACACACCTCC